CCCCAAAACCCCAAAACCCCGTACTTAGAAATCAAATTATAGTAATCAATTTTATTAATAAATAAAAGCTATATTAATTTCATTAAGACTGAGGTTATAAAGAGTCCATTAATAAGTTTGTTCAATTGACTAAAAGATTTCTTAGTCTTTGCACCTCTTTTTGATTTTGGTCTATCATCTTCAGATACTCTTTTTCTCTATCCTTATAATACTTGTGAATTTGATTTATTTCAATATCTTTCGACTCTTTTGAGGATAAGAAGTCTGTTGACTTATTACTTTGATAAGCGAGGCTTGATTAACTCAAGCAGTTGTTCATTTGACTGATATTCGGTTTATTTGTGTTATAAGGAGAAAGTTAATTAACGTTTTCAAATATCTGTGATTGATAGACACTTTTAGTTGATGGCTGCTTCATGCTCATAGCAATTTCAAGTTCTCTAATCTTAGACTTACCTTCATCCCTTTCCTTTCTCAGCACTTATAATTACTCCGTGAATACCCTCTCATGATTATCTTTATCCTGCTGCATATACTTTGTAAATTCCTAGAACTTTGATTCCAAAATCATAATCTTGTCATTTAAGCTATCATTGTCTTTAGATATTTACAAGTAAGACTTGATGATATATGAATACTCATTTTCATCAATCTCTTTTCTTAGCACATCTAAAATGCGATTGTAATTAACTTCTCCATCTAAATTAGCTAGAGTCTTGTCTGAATTTACCTTAAAAAGCTATTTGATATCTTTAATAAGAGATTTTGCTTCTTGCTAGATTCTATGACTGTTTGAATCAGTGATAAAATGAGCAAGCACCTTAGTTATGATATCTTTTACTTATAGTGATTGATAATTGCTTAGTTATGCTTGTATTTTCTCAAGATCTTAAGAAGTTTAGTTCATTATTGCTTCAAAGTCAAATTAAATAGTGTTATTACCAGATTCGGAAAGGAACTTTGACTTAAGATCTTCGTAAAGCTAAGTCTAGTTAAAATGTCTTAGTTGCAAGAATTTCTGGAATATGCTGATAGCCTACGAAAGATGCTATTTGATCTCATTATCTGAAAGGTACATATCTAGTGAGGGAGAAGATCTATCTGTTTCAACTGTGAGACTGTACTTGGCTAGTGAATTTTATTCTAAGGGGACTTTATACTTTCTTATTGCTTCTCTTTCTTTCTATAAGTCTACAAATAGCTAGTTTAACTCTTTGTATTTCTGCTTTATTTTCTCAGTGCATTAGGCTTCATAATAATTCTTTAGCTTGTCAATCTCATTTTTGAAGAACTGTTGTTTTTCATTAAGTTTCAGCTCATATCTCTATTTCTGTTCATTTAGCTAGTTCATTATTGATGGCTCTATCTAGTTGAGTTCATTAACTTTATCTTTAAGCATTGCTAGATCTGACATCATTAACTACTTTTCATGCTCTTTTTCTTAGATGATCAGCTCTATTTGTCGTTGCAGATTCATGTTGTCATTCAACTAAGCTTCACTAGCTTACTTGACTCTTTAATTTTCCTAAGTGCTTTGTAGTAGTTTAGTTTTAAGCGATTAGATCTTGGTTTCAAGTATTTTGTGGTGTCTTTAATGCTCGTTTATTAACTAACTAAGACCATTAATCTCAACTTCTTATTGCTTGATGTGATTTATCTTCTGCTCAAGCTCATTTTGTCTAGACTCGACATCCTTTTGCTTATTCTCAAGGAGCTGCTTGTAGTTTTCAATTTATAATTTATGATCTTATTTCTGTTTAATGATGTTTTCTTGAACCAATGTAATCTCATCATCTAGCGCCTTAGTCCTTTGAAGCATAGTCTATATCTCAGTCTCCTTTATTTCGATGATTTTGTTAACATTTTCTTTAACAGCCTGAATATCCTCAGTCTTCTATTGCTAAATCTACCTTATTTTGCTTTGATACTTCTCAACCTTTTAGATTAGCTGCAAGTTTTAGCCAGTGATTGTTTTTATCTAGGCCTCCTATTCAATATTACACTTGACTTTTTCATCTAGCTCAAGCTTCAATGACTGCATCTTCTGCCCTAAGTTGTCAATTTACTGGTATTACTTCTCCAGTAGGTCTTAATGATCTTAGTATTGCTTAAGGTATTTCTAGTTCTCATTCTGAATCTGCTGATTCAGCTGGTCAATGCATTGCTCCTTTTGCTTAATAACCAATTCTAGGGTTTTCATCTCCAGAATGTTATTTTAAAGAAGCTTAATGTCTTACTCAAGGATTTGTTACTTAAGCTGGTGTTGCTATATTTCTGATTTTTATTAGGAATTCTGATAAGTTAACTCACTCTATTTTATCTTTAAGTCTTCAACTATTTGTTTACTTTGATTTAGATGTTAGTTAAGTTACTCTTATTCAGTTTCTTTTAACTTGAGAATCTCATTGAGTTTACTAATTTCCTCAGCTTTGAAAGAGTACTGCTCTTACTTGAGCTTTAACTCAGCATCCAATTTGATATTGAGTATTCTATGATCTTGAAGTTCCTAAATCAAGTGATCCTTTTGACTTGATGCCTTAAACTCCTTCTAATCCAACTACACCTGCATTGATTCCTTTTCTACTCTCAGAGACTGAATGTACTCATCACTCTTTATAGCATTCGACTTGAGGTTTGAGATATCTTATTCATATCTTTAAATCTTACTCTTTTGCTCTATTATTTCCCTCTTCTTTTCTTCAATTGTTACTTTAAGATTTTCGATTTCTTTTTGATAGAGTTACGATTGTGTTTAATACTCTTAAAGTCTTCTGTCGTTTAGCTATAGCTAGGATTCTAGCTGCTTGATTAGATGTTCTTATTCTTGCAATTTCATTGTTTTCTCAGAAACCTACTGCTTTGATTCATTTAGATCACTTTTTAGGTTCAAGACATCTTCACTAATAATCTTATTTTCTTTTTTTTGCAAATCTAATTACTGCTCAAACCTGTTCTTGTCTGATGAGAGCAACTATATCTCATCAAATTTTTCTTGAAGCTTTCTTGTCAATTCTCTTATTTGATTCGACTGTGAATCCTATTAACTCTTTTACAATAAATCTAGCTTCTGACTAAGAGTGGCATTGTTTTACTCCACTCTATTTTTAGAATCCTTAATAATCTCTAGCTGCTGCTGAAGTGAATTTCTTTCTCTTTGTAAAGTATCCTCTAACTCTCTCTTATCCTGCTCTAATTTTACACTCATTCTCTGTAATTCTATTAACTTCTCCTCTGTTTACATCTATCTCTAAGAGTACTCATTTTGAATCTATTAGGTATTCTGGAATTGATCTTGCAGTTGCAAATCTTATTACTGCAGTAACTCCTAATGAGTTCTCAAAGCCATTGACAAATCATCAAGCTACTACTGCAAATCAGATATTTAATGATCTTTTTGCACAAGAATAGACTCTTATTGGCTAATTTGAGAGAGTAATTGTCTTTCCTTTCGGTCACATTGTCTCTTTATTGAATCAGATGTTAGTACATCTTGTCTAAGTTTGAAGAATTGCTTCTTGATTTTATCTCTATTTTACTGCTCTATCTTGTCATCGTTGATTGTATTAGTGTCTATGTTCAAAGTTTCCTTTAAAACTCCTGAGGCTTCTTCAAGATTTTAAATGACTTACTTGCATGAATTCTTGATTTCCTTGACCTTAGCAAGTCTTAGATCATCTCCATTCTCGAAGATTGACTAGTCACTTATCATTGATTAGCTCTATGAATGAATTGATTAGTTGTTTGGTCTGATGCTATGCAAAACCTCTATGATATTTATTTCTATCTGATCAAGATATATGCCTAGCCTCTGTCTTAGCCTGTTTTAGATCTTTTACAGTCTTATCTCATAGTTTCTCTTGAAATTAGGATCTTCTCCAATAATCTCAGAGAAGAATTAATTAGGATTAATGTTTTAGTCTTGAAATGGAGTCATTTGACTTTTATTATTATTGCTTTTGCAATTACTCAGATTTATAAGTAAGTTTTAAAAGTCCTCTAATACCTTATTTTCACTTTACTTATCGAAATTACTAACAGGGCCAGCACCATAAGCAATGCTTGGCCCATTGTTATTACTTCTTTGAGACTTAATAGGAGTGATAGGCTTTTAGTGAGAAGGAGGTGGCTGTGAACCTTTTTCATCTCTGCGGAATTAGTTAGGTCTCTTGAACATATTGTTGATTGGCAATTCTTATAAAAGATTTTAGGATTCAGTGCCCTTTATTCTACGCTTGAGAGAATGCCTTTCTACAAGCAACTACTTTATATCAGTAGCAAACTAATCTTCTCGTTTTGAAGAAGAGCTTCGGAAACTCTTTAACGGCTATTAATTTTCCATTTTAAATTCAAATATCCTTATTAATAATATTTCATATTTGAGTGATTTTAATCGTATCTGTTTTTGAGGGGTTTTGGGGTTTTGGGGAGATCGGAAGAGCGTCGTG